AACCTGCATTTAGGAGTGGCTCAATACTGGCTGGCCATATTCGGGCCGGAGTTGGAAATACATTTCTGGCCCAAATACTTCACGCCACAACCGGCCCTCATCTGGTTTGCCAGAGTCAAGCCAGTGCCTCCTTTGCCACGCCTGGGCCGTGTTCGGCCCACATGCGTTATGCCATTGCCGACACCAGGCCAGCTGTGCCGGCTTCATGCCGAAGCCGGGCCAGATGCCTTTGCTGACTGGGGTGTTATGTCCATGACTTGGCTAATACATTTACTGGTTCAAATAGAAACGTGAGGATAAGGTTTGTCGGATTCGTCGGGCCGGGTCGGAAATCTTGTCGATACTATGCCACAAGGATGTGTGCAAAATTTTATTCCGATCGGATAATTTTATCCCGTCCCGCAGAGCGACCAAAGTTTCCCCTATGGAAAGAATGTTACGGGGCTGAATGGTAGTACGGTTTCTCCCGTACAGTAAGGATTTTGTTTTGCTCAGTTCGCACTTGCAATAATTCAAAGACGGAAGACAGGAACGCATGTATTGCAACAAAGGCAACCGTGGTTATCCTTCAACACTGGTGAGATTGTTGGTCCATGTTAACTGGTCCATCTGTCTATCTGTCCATCTGTCTATAATGTCCATCAACACTAGTGACACTGTTAGACCGCAAAAAAAACGAAATCCGCCGTGCGTGCCATCCCATGCCTACTTCGCGCACGGGTGCAACGCCCGGTGTCGCTCCACGACCTGCAGAAGGTGCTGTCGCTGTTCCTCGTCGCGCGTAACGGCGCCGCAGAACGCGCTGATGAGGGCGACGCCCCTCTCCGCAAAGTCGTTCACCACCCGTAGGTGACGAGCGCGCCGACGAGCCGTGGTGAGCTTCGGGCTGCCCAACAAGCCACACTTCGGTGGCTGAGCGTGAGCGTCTTGCAGTTGCAGCGGCCATGCTGAACGCAGGCACAGCCACGACTAACGCAATACGCAACGCTTCTCCTGGCCCAGCAGGAACTGCCGATCCTCGTGCTCTTTTTTTTTTTTTTTTCGATGTCGAAAAGCGTCTTCAGCTCAGCGTCCAGTAAGAATTCCGGCGATTCTCGACTTCAATTGAAAGATATTAGCTCGCCAGTAGGTGACCGTTGTGTGTTAGGCGTGCGTTTGAGTTTGTCTCCGGCTGCTGAGAGCAGCGATGGAATGGTTAGTTAGTCAGGAGGTGATCGTTCGGGCAACATTCAGCCCAGCCAGTGTCACGCATGGCAAAATACACGGTTAAAATACACATGTTCACCCTATTGAGACCAGTTGTTATGGTGGAAACTTTGGCCGCTTTGCGGGACGGGAAAATATCATCAGATCGGAATGAAATTTTGCACAGAACCTTGTACCATAGTATCGACAAGAATTCCGACCCGGCCCGACGAATCCGACAAACTTTTTTTTTTGCCATGAAAATGTGGACCACCCTAATGTACATGCATTAATAAGCACACAAAAACTTTGAGAATGAGTGCCAAGAAAAGAAAAAAACAAAGACCAGTTTTATTCATGAGCACTTCACAACATTTGTCCACTGAACAGAGAAGGAAATGTGCAACAGTAAAAAGCCTGTTATACAGACAAGCCGGGAGCGCAGCTGCCTTTCCCAAGATAGCTGCTCATGATGACCTCAACTTTACATGACGTCATGTAGCAGATGCTTTCGTGGTCACTTGCAATACCACACACACAAGTCAAAAGGAAGGGAGGTTTTCAATGTGAGTCCTAGATGTGTCAGAAAGGTTTGGGACCGCAATGTCAAGTGCTTCGTTTTGGTTGGCGAGTAACAACATTTGAGTTTCAAACCAAAAGATGAAAATGAGACAAAAGTTTAGGAGTCCCGCTTTTGTTTCATGGGATTTCAATCTAGACTCAAGACACAGCACCTTTGGTTTGAAGCCCCCGACTTTTCAAGTGAGCAAATGTTTTACAACATGTGACTGATGGGTGTTTCTCGTTGCTCAAGTGGCTTTGGTTTTACATGAAAACTGCATTTGCTAATCAGCAAACATGACGACCAAAAGGTAGCCTGTGGGAGAAAAGCAAACTGTTTTGAAGATGAAAGGAAAAAAAAACAGTCAAGAGCTATTCCACAAACATTGGGCAGAGCCAATACTGCAATTTGGAATGTCCTAAAAAGAAAGAAACTAATTGTGTCCCGAGGCAACAGACATTGAACAGGTCGGCCAGCAGTTTCAACAGCAGCTGATGACAGAAATATTTTAAGAGCTGTGAAGAAACACCCAAAGATGCATCCAAACTAATCGGGAGACAACGTGCCACAACACAAAGACACAAAGCGCACTGCCACTACAACAAAGGACAGGGGGAACTCAATCACTGGATCTTAACCCAATAGAGCATTGATTTATTTCACCTATTTAAGAGGAGATTGAAGGGAAAAACCCCTTGGAACAAACAAGAACTGAAAGAGGCTGTAGTAAAGTCCTGAAAAAGCATTTCAAATAACGAATGCAAGAGCCAAGTGAAGACAACAAGTCGCAAGCTTGACACAGTTATCGCAAATAAGGGTGACGGCACCAAGTCATAAATGTTAATCACTTTAATAAGGTCTGTTTCAATACTTTTGCACTCTTGACAAGTGGGAGGCTTCAAACAAAATGATCGCTGTCTGGTGTTGTTTTTTTTTTTTAACACATCAAGATGTCAATACCATGAAATACAAGGTGGATTTTTGAGCTCCTGCCTCATATTCATTCATCTTTTAATCTGAAACCCAAATGTCTCCAGTATACAGTACAACAAAAACAAAACCTTGCTATTCCAATATTCTTGGAGGGGACTATACCTCGCATGAACATGTCAATAATAGTGAGCACAACCCTTAAAATAAGAGCAGAAAAGTAGTATGATTCCTAGGTACAAAAATCAAGATATTACATGGAAGCACCTGAAATCATTATTTGATATAGTGACCGTTCACTATATCAAACTTAATGGATAACAACAATTATATTGCTCACATTATTTTTGCTGTACAGATGTATTAAAAAAAAACAACCACACACACACACACACATCATAACACACAAGTGTATACAAGTACATAAGATACTATTTTACAGCAGTATCCAGTGGTGGTCTTTTAAATACACTCACTGGCCACAAGATTTTGTACACCGGCACCATCTAATGTGAGTCAATACAAGAGCTGTATCAAATATTTAGCATTTACAAAGATAATACAACTAAAGGTCAGAAAGTTTCAATGATTGAACTTGCAGTTGCAAGATTTTCTTTTCCCTACATTGTAGGGCCTACAGTAGCTGCACGCACTGTAAATAAAGAACCATCTCTTACGATGCTTTGTTGTAAACTTGATTACAAACTACAATTCTAAACACTCTTTAATTCTTGTAATGCTATGCAGTTTGAGATTGTAATTTTTGTTAAAAGAATTAGTGAAGTAATCCTATATTTTATAATATGACGTAAATATATTAGTTCGTGGGCAGCACGGTGGGTTAGGTTTTAGCACATCTGCCGCCTTCTTGTTGGGAGTTTGCTGTTTGTTCTTCCCGCTTGTGTGGGTTTTCTCATGGTCTTCCAGCTTCTTCGCACATTCCCCAAAAATGCACGTAAAGTTACTTGACGACTCTAACGGTTGGGTGCCCTGCGATTCGCTGGAACCAGTTCAGGGTCTCACCAAAAGTCAGCTGGGATAGGCGCCAGTTCACCCGGGAGCCTAACGAGGATAAGCGGTATAGACAACCCATGGCTAATAGATAAAGAGGATTTTTTTTTGGGGGGGGGGGGGTCATTAGATGCAGTGGGTGTACATTATATACTTATCATTTCCATGACATTAAATCTTAACAGAGTAAACAGTGAATCTGTAAACACGTTGAGCCACAGATCGGGTGTTTGTTAGTGCTTGAGAAGGATTCTAGGACTGCTCCTAGTTTTAACTGTTGAGGTAGTAGATTTGATCTGCCAAAGACATTTTGTAGAGCCCTTGGAAGTGACAGAATAGCTACCATCCTTTGTTGAGTCATCAGTCCAGCCCTTGGATGATTCACATTTGGAATCATCGACAAAGCAGCTGCTGGCTGGTGAAATGAATGAGACAATGTCTTTGCTAGCACCTTTTTTCGTTCCCTTTGGACTGTGTTTGGCAGAATTATTCGCTGGTGGCTTACTATGTCCGTATGGTGATGTCACTGAGTTGAGTAGAGCTTTAGGAACAGGAGTGTGTCCCGCAGCTCTGATAACAGTCCCAGGAACGGTAATCCTAGGAATTGTTTTGGAGATTGGAGCGGACCCCACTGTCAAGTTCCTCTGGAGCCGTTTTTCTCTCACATTTCTGCACATGACCTCACTGACTGGATCAAGGTCAGAGTTATCTTTGACCTCAAGAGTAGTGATGCTTGCTGACGAGCCAAACTTTGCCACATTAACACTGTTCGGTGTGTCCTCAGTTACATCACTGTCCCTCATTAATTTCAGCTCTCCAATACGTGCGTCTTGTATAAGCTCTGCATCAAGGCTACCAGCGCTTCGTACCTTATGGACAGCATGTTTTACTTGAACATCTTCCTTATAGTTAGCCTCCATTTCACCGTTAGAGTAGTCACTATCCAGTCGGACATTCCCATTGGACTGTTGCATACTGCACTTCTTGAATGGATTGTCGGTAGAAAAATGATTGGGAGGACTTAGATTACCATCTGGTGGGAGGCCTCTTTTTCTTCGAGACAATCTCACAACCCCAGGGGTCTCGCTGAGCTGTCTGGTGGCTAAGTTAGTAGTCAATGGCATTTGAGCTGGTGCCCTGCTTGGATTTTTTCCTGAGTTCTGAAGACCTCGATGAGTCTTGGGGTTTCTGTAGAACTTACAAACTGTTAGGCATTGTTTGTGAGGCAGTTGGTGGTTGCTGTGTTGGGAGAGGTGATTGCTCTTGACTTCTGGTCGGTTATTGGAGTGGCCCCTTGATTTACAGGTATTGCTGGGCCTTGGAGATCGCTGGCCGCCACCCCCTGTCTTAGGCTTCAAGGTTGAAACAGATCTGACAAAGGAGGTGCTATGGTCAGAAACTCTGGAAACCTTGGAGACCTGGAACATGGAAAGATCATTTGAACACAGTGATATTGCATTCAGGTTACCTCAAAATAGGGTTGGCAAATTCTGGGAATTTTCAAAGTTGGAATCTTTCCCTGGGAATTAACAGGAATTTATGGGACTAATTAGGGCGTGCATATACAGTGGTACCTCGACTTACGAACGTCCCTTCATAGAAATTTTCAAGTTACGAAATGCCTCAAAAGGAAAATATTGCCTTTGTTACGAAAGAAATTTCAAGATACCAAAGGTAAAAATACAGTATGGGCTGCTTCTCGCAGCTCCGAGTTTCCTGAACGCAACATACCTATAGCTGCTCTGTCATTGGCCATTACCGAGCATCATCCTGGCATCCCATTGCCTAAGAGGGACTTCTACCATATGTGTCTATGTGTGTATATAGATAGATATGTGTCTATGCAGCGTCCTCGTCATTCGCCCCCTTGGGCCATGAGGCGTTCCGAGAGTTAAATGTTAAATCCGAGACGTAAATGTGAATCACCCAGAAAAGGTGTTCACCAGTCGGGCGATTGCTCACTATGCTGATGTTTGCCTTGGACATTTTTGAAGGATTGATAAAAGCTGACAAAAGCAAACGTCTCTGGGTCAGTTCTTTACAAAACGTCAGGCAAAAACCACTTCTGAGAACATGGACTAAAGAGGGCAAAAACGATGAGGACCTGTTTCTTCTGACTGAGGTGTTTATATGGAGCATTTTCATTTGGTTTGGTCTTCTAACACATTTCTAATCAGAATATAAGACTCCACATAAACCAGGCTTGTATGAGAGCAAGTCTTCATTTTATAAATTTTCATAATAACCGCTGTCACACCCAGTTTTTCAGCCCTCCTCCCCCCGTGAAAATGTAACACTCTCAGGTCACAGCCAAACTCCACTGTCTGAAACACTCATGTCAAAACCAAAAGGTAAGCAGAGCTGTTCGTTAATATAATAAAAGCCATACTCGGCAGCGGTTCCTCAGTAGATTTAGCGGGGTTACTGGTTGCTTACTTTCATTGGGGACATTAGAGAACAAGATGAGTTGTATGAGGTTTAAAATATATATAAATAAGATAAGATAAGATAAGAAAACCTTTATTAGTCTCGCAATGGAGAAATTCCCAATACACAGCAGCAAAGTTATGAAAGGAACAAGTAGAACAACAAAATATAGGAGCTGCTGGAAAGGCAGCCACTCTCGCGGCGCCATTTTGAAGTCAAAATAACAAAAATAACACAACACAACACATAGGACACAAGACAGTCGTGCAATCTTCACCACTTTTCTGCATACACTAATACACAATAAAAATCAATAATAAACAGTGTTTCAATTTTAAGACCTGTGAAGACAATGGGAAATGTTTCTCCCTCCAGTTTTTCGGGCCACAACAAAAACAGACCCATCTCAACGCGATAATCTAGACATCTTGCAGAAACAGAAATGAAATGAAAAAACACAAACCTTTTTATTCCTTCTGAGCTGTATGGAGAAGTGTCTAGGTCTCAGGTGGTGTTTTGAAACTTCATCTCCCCTGCCAGCTTCCATACATTCATTCTTTATCCTCTGTCCTGCCTCCTCCTTCCTCTCTCTTTCCCTTCTCCTTTGTGCCCGAGCAGTTAGATGGCAGAGGGAGCTGCCCTCTGTGGAGTCAGGGCCTTCAAAGTTCAGAGATCTACAGTCTGGCCGCACTATAAGACAACACACAAAAGACAAAATACATTCCCATCTGCATGCTAGTTGACCTCTCAAGAATCACTTGGGCTTTTTTGTTATTGCATTCATTTTCCCAGCTGTCTTTATACGTCAACTCTATTTCTTTTAACAAAGTGACTTTTTAATTGCTTGCTTGTATACAAAAAGTTGGGTCCCTGGAGTGCTTGCCCAGTGACCATCCATCAAGTGTGAAATTAAACAACTTTAATTAATCTGCTGATTAATCAGTGAGATCGATTTTCTTCCTGGCAAAAATCGGCAATGCCCTAAAGAAATTTGCTATCTGTCAGGCCTTAGAATATACTAGTGAATGGAATAGGGGAGCTCGGTGTGAAGATTTTCACAAGCGGCACACACCGCATACCAGGTCTATTCAATTATGAGAGCAAGCTCTCATTCATACTGAAAGGAGAGCTTGGTCTTATTCATTCGGTTGCTCCTCATTCATTTGGCCGCCTCTCCGAGTTGCTGTCACCAGCTTATCGTCATCACGCTCCAGCGTCCGAAGCAGAGCTGCGGCTGGCCACCTCTCATTCAAGTGGATGGACGGAGCGAGCGGAGCATGCACTCGCTCGCAAAAACCTTTACCACAAGCTTTCACTATTTCATTTATCGGAAGAGGGAGCTGAGTTGAGAGGCGAAGCTAACGATTTACCAGTCGCTCTATGTTCCTGCTCTCACCTATGGTCATGAGCTGTGTGAAAGAACAAGATGCCTAATACAAGCGGCCAAAGTGAGTTTCCTCGGCGGGGTGTCTGGGCTCTCCCTTCGAGGTGAGGGTGAGAAGCTCAGTCACCCGAGAGTGTCTCAGAGTTTAGCCGCTACTCCTCAGTGTTGAAAGGAGGCAGATGAGGTGGCTCGGGCATCTGATCAGGATGCCTCCTGGATGCCTCCCAGATGAGGTGCTGAGGCATAGCCCACCGGGCGGAGGCCCCGGGGACAATCCAGGACACGCTGGAGAAACTATGTCTCCCAGTTGGTCTGGGCAGACCTTGGTATCCCCCTGAGGAGCTGGACGAAGTGCCTGGAGAAAGGGAAGTCTGGGCTTCCACGCTGCACTGGGCCACCCTGACAGCACTGGGCAGCTCCTTCAGTGAGAGACTGAAGACTGATACACCCCTGCTGCAAGAAGGAGAGGTACCGCCGCTTGTTCCTGCCGACTGCTGTCAGGCTATTGACTAGACGGACCTGAAAACCTGGACTCAGCCCCACTCACCCATTTTTAATATGCTTATATTTATATTTATTGATATACTTTTTCTCCCTCTACTTTCTTTCATAATTTTGTTGCTGTAAATTGGGAATTTCGCCATTGTGAGACATCTTATCTTAAGCCCGACATGGAATAAACCGAAGTGGATGGATGATGACAAAAAATACAATGCTCAGAATAGAAGGTTAAAAGATGCATTGTCATTCTTGTTCATATTTATCTCTTGATGCTTAAGAGACAAATGTATAATGTGGGAGGCACAGGGTTTCAGTGGGTTTATGTACTCCCCAAAAGCATTTTTTTTCTTTCCAGTGCGCCTTTAATTACATTTGAACAGTGTTATCACTTTTAAAAGTAGGAGGGCACCTGCGTGTGTGATCGTGTTCTTCCTATCAGTGACAGTCTGGGGGCGTGTGGAAAGACGCGAATTAAAATCCCGTCCACTCAAGAAGATCATGTTTCTTGGCAATGCTGCTGAACCTGAGGTCACAGAGAAAAATGATTTCGTTTAGTTATGTCCGTGACCGTGCACCGGAGTGAACAGCATAAGAACGAGTAAATCAGTGGTGTCAAACATACGGCCCATGGGCCAGAACCGGCCCCCAAGGAGGTTCGATCAGGCCTGCAGGATAATTTAAAAGTGAAAAAAATGCATGAAAGACACGGAATGCATAGTTGTAATAAGGTGCACCTCATGGAGTATCCGCTAGGGCAGGGGTCCCCAACCGCCGGTCCGCGGACCGGTACCGGTCCGCAGGGCATTTGGTACCGGGCCGCACAGAAAGAACTTGCCTTATTTCTGTTTTATTTATTTCGGAACACGAAAGATGTTTTATTTTGAAAAATTACCGGATTCTCTTTTACATCCGTCTGTGTCACGCTTGACTCACGTCAAGCCACACTTCTCGGTCACGTGACCAATGACGCTTAAAAACAAAACACTAAAGCCCGCAAAATGAGTAAAAATGCTGCTTGGAGATCACAAATGACAGCGGCCTTAAAAGTACGTTCGAAACAACTGGATCAAAGTTATGGCTGAATACT